GACAACCAGGGTGAGACCTGTATTTGATGCATCGGCAAAAGACATTAACGGAAGGTCTTTAAATAGTTCGTTAGAACCGGGCTTAAATTTATTAGAGCTAATACCAACTTTATTAATCGGTTTTCGTAAGTATGCGGTTGGTGTTACTGCTGACATTAAAAAGGCTTTCTTACAAATTAGCCTAGCTGTTGCCGACCGAAAATATTTACAGTTTTTATGGTGGTCAGACGACAAACGTACCGAGTTCATTACGTATCGATATTGCAGAGTTGTATTTGGAATCACTTCTAGTCCTTTCTTATTAAATGCTACAATACGATATAATTTTCATAGTAATAATTTTCCTAATAATTTGAAGAGTACAGCCGATAAATTAAAACAATCATTTTATGTGGACAACTGTTGAGCGTCACACAAAGATGCTGTAGTATTCCAGGAAGAGTCGGTGACCCTAATGTCACTGGCGAAGATGGAGTTTAGGGCATGGGTAACTGGTCCTTCAGACAAAGAAACTGTTATTTTGACGTTAGGTGTATTATGGAATAATAAAGAAGACACTTTATTCGTTAATTTGAAAGGCCTTCAATATAAAGATGAAAAAATTTCAAAGAGATTTATTTTATCTTTAGCACATAAAATATATGATCCTATAGGATATACTACTCCTGTCGCTTTGATACCTAAATTATTATTAAAAAAGTTATATGAGCTGAAACTTTCGTGGAATGATGATGATATACCATCGGAATACAGTGTTGAATTTTTGCAGTGGGCTAGAAAACTTCATTTCATGGATTCTGTGCGCATACCACGACATTTAACAGGGGACGACATAAGCCAGTGCAAGTTATCAATTCATAACTTTTGTGATGCTAGTATCGCTGCTTATGCTGCTGCCGTATTTCTTCGCAGCGAGTTTCAAGGTAGAATGACAGTGCAGTTATTATTGGCTAAGTCTAGGGTATCTCCTAGCAAAGAAACCGTTTCAATACCTCGCCTGGAGCTAGTCGCCGCTACTATAGGGACTAGACTTTATGTACAAGCTAAGACTGCATTAGGTATGACACATGTTTGTTACTTTTGGTCTGACTCTAATGTTGTTCTTTCATGGATTAGGAATGAGGGAGATTGGGCAGTATTCGTTAAAAGCTGCGTGAAAGAAATTCGCAAAGAAACAAATACTGTCGATTGGCATTTCATTCAAGGCACGTTGAATCCAGCAGATCTTCCATCTAGGGGTTGCCAAGCGGACGCGTTGCTGAAGTCCTCATGGTGGGAAGCTCCAGATTGGTTAAAGCAAAGATAAGATGAATGGCCAATTACTCAAGAATACTTTAAACCAGATTTGTTATCAACGAAAGGTGTGGATAGTAATAATTTCGTTGTAGAAGTTACAGATTTTTTTCTAATAACCTTTTATATAATTTTTTCTAAATATAGCTTAATAAAGAGAATGCTTGCCTGGGTTTTGCTATTTTATTATTATCTTAAGAATGTAACAAGAAAACAGAGCTATTTAGAAATGGAAGAAATAGTCACAGCTGAAATGGTTTTATTTAAGTTAATACAAAAGGAAGCATTTGGGGATAAGAGAATGTATAAAAATTTATGTACAATTGTTGATTCAGATGGATTAATACATGTTAAAACGAAGTTGTTTTCCGAAGATGTTCCTTCAAGTTACAGGTATCCTATTCTACTTCCCGGAAAACACGTAATTGTAGAAAGGTTAGTGTCTCAAAAACACGAACAGCTTTTTCATGCGGGAATGCAAACATTGTTAGCGAATCTAAGACAAAAATTTTGGATAACGGGTATAAGAAATTTAGCAAAGAAGATATCCAGAACATACGTTATTTGCAGAAAGCAAAAAGGAAAATCTTGTTCAACACCACTTGTTCCCTTACCCACTAATCGAACCGAAGCTGGTAAGCCATTTAAGCTCAGTGGTGTGGATTTAGCGGGGCCGTTTTTCCTATGTAATGGGGAGAGAGTGTGGATGGTACTATATACATGTGTTGTTTACAGGGCTATTCATTTAGAGTTAGTTACGTCTTTATCCACTTTAGATTTTTTGATGTCTTTTAGGAGATTTATTGCCCGACGAGGTAGGATTTCTACCATATACTCAGATAACGGCACGAATTTTGTCGGAGCGAGAAATCTATTTAAGCTCATAAATTGGTCTGAAGTAGTGTCGGAGGCTACAATTCGGAGTATAAAGTGGATACTGATCCCTCCAGGTTCACCGTGGTGGGGAGGGTGGTACGAGCGCATGATAAGAACAGTGAAAGAGCTGCTTAGGCGCGTACTTGGTCGAGCTTCTCTGACATATATTGAGTTTGAGACTATTTTAGTGGAGTGTGAAGCTATCAACAATTCACGACCACTAAGTTACATTGTCGACGATGTGGACATTTTATTACAGCCAATTACGCCAGCATCTTTTTATAACCTTTAAGTTGTACCGATGTAACGGACTTGGATAATTTGGATGGCAAGAGTCTGAACGTACGGATCAAATATTTACAAAAATTAAGGAATGACCTGAAGATACGTTTTCGAAACGAGTATTTAGCACTATTAGTACTGAAAGGTAAGGACGCGAATCACACTTTAAAAGTAGGTGATGTTGTTTTGGTGGAAACTCCAGAAAAACGAGTTAGGTGGCCATTAGGTTGTATTTTAGAGTTACATGAGGGCAAGGATGGCATATGTAGGGTGGCTTCAGTTAAGACAGCTACAGGTGTCTTGGGGTGCGTAGTCTGGCAACCTCCTCGTGGTGCACCCTGGGCAACGTGGCGGCTCGAAGTTTCTTTGAGCCGCCGCGGCTAATGTCAGACAAGCCGTCGTCTTGGCGTTTTGTGTTCCAAGACTGACGGCTCAAGTGGGGAGTTGCCTCGGATTTTTATGTTCTGAGGCGACTCACAAGTGGGAGTGGACTCGGTTGCGGACTGCGGGTTCGGTCGCCTTGACAGATAGGCTTGATGGTGACTGAACCTGCTGAGACCAAGACCGAATCTTCTCATGAGGGAGTGGTCTCGGTCACGTTTTCTGGGTCCTGCTGCGACATGCCAGATTGGCAAACATTAGCGGGACCTGTTGAATTCGAGACGGAGACTACTAACTGAGGGAGCGGTCTAAGTTATGACTTCTGGGTCCGAATGTGACATGCCAGAGGGGCAGACAGCAATCGGACCTGTGGAGGTTATAATGGAAACTGCTAATGGGAGGGGTGCTGGTCATGGTTCTCATTCCGGAGGCCGACTAACTGAGCTTTCTGTGTGAGGATCTGCGATGGTACGATTGAGAGGTTTACCTTGATATCGGCCTAGTAGAATCCTTCACAGATTGGTCAACTCCCTGTGCCTCGCGGAACTCGTGCGTTGCGAATGATGAACCTTGCTACCGGCGGAATGGACATACGCAGAGGGCGTATCTGTTCCGTCAGAAGGTGGACATTCGTAACGGCTAACTGTCGACCTGGTTTCTCTGCAGGGATACGTCTGCCGGGCGGGCCTGTGATTGGCAGTTAGTGAAAGGAATGCTTGGAGTCGGCTCGCGTTTACGTGGGTGAAGGGAGTTCCCTTTGTGGTCCTGTTTACAGGGTCACAAAGACGAGGGTCAGCAACCGGTGTTGAGGTCCGATTGGACTGGCCACCTGCGGGGCTGAGACGTACGGGGGGAGGGATTCACTTGTGAGTTCCTCCAACTAGGCAGCGGGGACTGGAAATGCTCGATCGCGCATCTCCTATCCTTGGTAGGGACAGTCGGCGGGTTTGCGCGCCCGCCGCATTGCACATCTCTACCCTGTCTGGGGTGTGTGTCTCTGATGTGCCTGAGATACATGTCCAACCCGGTGAGGGAACTTGCCTTTCGGGGCGAGTTTAGGGGGCGAATCTGGCGCTGTGCATGGCCCACTGGCCGATCCCGTGCCATCGCCACTAACCCTGAATGAGGTACATCGCTGAGTTTTAGTGGGTATGCCCTGTTTCTCGACCGGCTCTTCTTAGAGCAGGTCCACAGGGAGAGTCCCACATAACCCGTGAAACCCGCGCTGGGTGTAACGGGTATGCGTAATGCATTTCTCAGCGTCAAAAAAAAAAAAAAGGTACAGGTGTCTTGGGGGACAAGTTGCTCACATCCGCAGGTTTTGCCCATAGTTACCCTGCACGTGTCCCCCGGGTGGCGCTAACGAGCAACAAAGAGGGGCCCGACTGGCGTCTTGGACATATTCCGAGTAACGGCAGTCAGGCACGGGAAGGAGGTTTCGGCCTTTTTAGGCCGTTGTTTGCCTTTTTCAGGGCCGTCATGTAGAGCCTAGGGGGGCGGTAAGACCCGTTTTTGAGTCGCGTTCTGGGGCGTTTCCCTTTTAGGGAGTTTTGTGAGGATTGGTTCTGGGTCGGCGTCCTGACCATATGTCAGGTAGCGGCGACGCAGTCCGGGCTGGACGGGCGTCTCGGGAATGACCCGAGTAGCGGCCGTGCTAGCGAGGGCGGTGGGCCTGCCGTGTCGTGGTGCCACGAGCGGTGGGTGTCCTTTTCAGGACAACTACCGGCCGACCCGTTACCCCGCGCTGAGCGGGGCCGGGAGGGCCTACCTTTGCTGGGCGGTCCTGGGTGGGGATAACCACGTTAAAAAGTCACCAAGCCCAAATTTGCCGTGGGCGAGGGGATGGGTGGCAGCTGGTAGAGCTGTCGATACACGACCTCTGGAGGCGGGGACCGGCCGACCCCCGCCTTCACAATCCTAGGCTTGCCCGGGCATGGAGCCTCTGCTCGGGTGGACCTATATTTGCTGCCACGCTCGTGGGATTAATATGGAAGAAAATAACTTAAAACCTAAAAACTGATGAGAGGGAGCCTAGTTCAGGCGTAAGCGAGCATAGTCGACTGGAGACAGTTGTGGAGGGCGAGATGTTGATGGAGACGGAGAAATCTGATGGATTGGCTAGTGGGTTCGATTTTAATTCGGAGGACATTAGGGAGAAGAATAAGCTAATGAGGGATGATGCCAGAAGGGCTTATGAGAAGGCAAATGAAATCGTTGCTGAGTCTTCGGATTTTGCAGTGAGGTTTAAAACGGCATTTGACGGACTCCTGAAGGGGGGTAATGCAATGGGTATGTACTCGGTGGGTCTAAACTTTATTAAGGAGTACAAGGAATATATTACCGAACTGGGAATATCCTTTAAGGGTAGGGGCAATTTATTTCATAAGGCTGGTCTCTTAGTGAAGCAATTGAGAGAGGAGGGATCGAAACTCAGCGATGAGAACGAATCTTTGAGGCTCGAGGTGGAGAGATTGAGAGGCGAGATATTGGAACTCAATGTCCTTAAGGAGGTTGCACAGAAGGACGATCTTGTGGAGTCTGGCAAGACTGTTTGCACGGTGGAAACACAAACACCAGCTTTTCTGCCGGGTGCGCCAAGGTCAAGTAGGATTGGGGAGGGAACAACAGGAATCCAATCGAAACCTGCGGCACATCATGTGCCGAATAAGGATACGAGCTGGGCTCAAGTTGTAAAGAGAGGGAAGAAGAAGAACGGGGGGAGAGTAAGGCAAAGTGAGAGGAGTGATGGGGCAAGTGAGTCCCCTGTGCCAGTTTCGGCACTGAAGCCTCCTCCTACCCATAAAAAACGAGGGAGACATAAATCCGGGGCGCCAAATACCACTGCCGTGGTATTAACCATTCCTCCGGAGGTGGAGGCTAAGGGACTGACGTATGGAAAGGTCATTTCCAGGGCCAGAAAGGAGATCGCTCTCCCGGAACTGAGCATTCCGGGAGGTGTAAATATGGGCAGTACAGCCACTGGTGCCCGGATTTTAAAGGTGCCGGGGGCCGATAGTGGGGCGCAAGCGGATCTGCTTGCCTCCAAATTGAGGGATCTACTGGGAGATGCTGTTGAGGTCACGAGGCCCATTAAGAGGACAGATTTAAGAGTAACAGAGCTGGATGACTCTGTTACTTCCGACGAGCTCAAAATGGCGCTGGCTAATCAGGGCGGATGTCCCCCTGAAAAGTTGGTTGTAGGCCCTATAAGTATGGGTGTTGGGGGTCTCAGAATGGCTCTTTTGAGGTGCCCTGTGGCAGCAGCCGAAGTGTTGGCTAAGAGGGGGAGGGTGTTGGTGGGCTGGACTTCCGCCCGTGTTAAACGCCTAGACCCGTTGCCCTTGCGCTGTTTCAAGTGCAAAAAAAAAAAAAAGGTACAGGTGTCTTAACTCGAATAGTCAAAAAATTATACCCACTCGAATGTGATTACTAGTAGAATAATACTCGCACTATAACTAATAAATACTAACCATGCTTATAGCAGAAAGCCTACTCTAATTCACCGAAAAACTAAATATCGTTCGAAATTTCGGACGTTTCCTACCACAATTACGTTCGTTCCGAATATTCAACGAACGAAAATGTTTGACATATTTATTTTCTAAACCTACTCTATTTCACGAAATGACAAAACGAATATTTGAGTTTGACATCTAATTGTTCGGAATTCTTACCTCAAATTGACGAAGTAAAAAATGTTACCTTTTCATTATCGTTAGCAATTTCTTATTTTCAAAATGGGGTCTATATTACTATTAATCGAGTCAGCTCTCAGTAAAGAACGATTAGACCGTAGGAGAAATCGGCAGCGGCTTCGAAATAGCCTTAATATAAGAAATATTCTCGATACTGAGTTTGTAAGTATTAAAGACTCAGTTGTGAATTATTTTAGGAACTATGCCAAGAGATTATACCTTTACTGCGTCCACAGGCAAGATCTCATGCCATCGAGTCCACAATTAAACTTGGAAGATATTTTATCGTAGTTCTTGATAAAAAAAAATTGCATGCCTACCATTATGCATTTTATATTTTTATGATTCTTACAGCATTGAATTTTTATGCCCGAGGTAGTTACCAAGGATTCGTATCTCAAAACATGGATGGGCCTATGGCCCAACAAACAGTTTCACGGTGTTAGGAGGTTAGGACTGTCCTCAATTCACCAGATAGGTATTATAAGAAAATATATTATTCCCTCAAAACCAAAATGAAAGGAATCTTATTAAGAGACAGTAAGTACCTAATAGTTTATTGTTTATTTTGGCTTTATGTATGAATTGTGAATAATTACCTATAGAATTGTCATTAATATTACAGATTTTACGAGGCATATAGACTATGCCATTATACCTGAAAAATATGACTGATAAAAAGTAAATTTATTACTAAAAACCTTTTTTGTGCCGAAAAACTAAATATTACTTTCATACTTACTTATAAAGCTTTTTACTGAATTGTCAAGATAAATTTCGGAACTCACAATAATTAAATAAAATATTAGTAAACACTGAACAGTTTGGTGAAAACTTGTAAAACTTTTGGCGGGATGAGAATCGTTTGTATTATACGGATATTTAAGATTGCCATACGTTGATTATAGCCATCATATAAATGAAAGGTTGTTTTTAAATATGTCGGTTAATACTGTGGATAAAAGAGTTCTTTATAGTGTCTTGATAAGTTGTAACGAAAAATAAAATTCATTAATATACTAAGTTTTTCGTTATATTATTATAATATTTCATATTTAAACAATGTTTAGCCACTAAAATTTTATTTAAAAGAAGTATATGTATTGTTTAATATTATATATTTCAAGTTACGGTAAACACCGGAATTTGACATTATAAGAAATCCAATAACGCCATTCACTCCAATCGATCACGAAAATTGTCTTTGGAAACGAACATTTGTTGGTGTATACGAAAATGATAAAGAGTAGCGTTCCATGCGAAATTTCGTTTTAATTTCGTTCGTAAACGAAATTTCGTTTTCGAGAAAGCGAGTAGGCCTCCAGGTGTGGTGTTAGCAGGTATAAAGTTGTATAAAATTGTATTTTAATTATTTTTTTTTTCTTTTTGTTTTGGCCGTTGGAGGATGTTCAGGACTCTTTAGTAAATATGCTTTATGGTTTAGATATAAAGAAATAATTTGATTTTGATGTAATGTTTTTGAAGTAATAAAAAATATCTTTTGTTCTATGTCCTAAAATAACTGTTATAATTTTTCCCGATTTCAAAATACCACGATGAAATAAGATTATTTAAAGAATTAAACAACAACAGCGCTATTGAGCTCCTAATTCCCAACTGATAAAGTACAAAACTTACCCTATTAGCATGTTGGGTCACTAGTGCACACGGAATAAATAAAGACAATATTAAAATTATAATTTGGTGTTTCGTTTTCATTTCAAAATAATATCGTATTAATTTTGTTCAAGTTCTACAGATTCTATTTGTAATTCAATACCATTTAATGATACGCCAGTATTTGACGTAATGTTATTATAATTATAGAGTACTCATATATGTAACTATAGAAATACTCAGGATTTGATAGACTATTAAATAATGTCAATAATATTTTTAATGCTGGGCATGTATACAAAATAACGTCAATTAATTAACATAGCTAATAAAAATAGACAGAGAATGGGGAATTTATTAAAAAAAAACTATTTTGATCCCCAACGCATAGAGAGGGGTGTTATAAGCAAGGTAGCCACTTGTCCCGAATTTTCCGGGGCAGTCCCGATTAAAATGATGTTGTTCCACGGCCCGATCTCTTATTAATTTTGTTCCTATTTTTGATAACGTTAGACAATTGCTACATTTGCACCTTAGGTATCCCTACGCAGATCCCACCGCGATGAAATCCGCATCCTTATAGTATTTTTTTTATTTTTGTTATAATATACTTTGGAATGAAGTCCTATGACCATTCGAAGATCCCGAATTTTTTTTCTCGAAAGGTGGCAACCACTAAACTGTCTGTATGTCTATGGTACCGTAGCTCATGAATATTTTTTTTAAACCGGTTTGAGTGCGGCCAAATGTGTTTTTATCATCCAAATGCTATAAAAATAGTTCAGCTCTGTTCCGCCGCATTTAGCTCTGTTCCGCAACCTGCAGCTACAGAACTGATCAAAATTATTAAGGGAAAGGCGAATAAAGCTGAATAAACGTAATTAGTCCCTATGGTGTTTCTAATTTTAATATAGAAATTTTCAATTGTTTTGGGGATTTTCAATTCCGATTATTAGTAGACATAACATGACTTATTATAGCATACGTAAATTATACTAATATCACGAAATTATGCTAAATGGAAATGATTTTGGACTCAAAAATTGTTTTACTGTTCAAATTTTACCCTACACATAAGCAATAAGAACAAAAATGTAAGACAAGTCTTTGGAGTGATTAACGGGCATTATATACTCTTACACCGAAACAAATGTAGCCTATTGTCGATTAACTTCACAAACTAGAGCTGAGATTAAAGGACTCTTTTATTATCGATATTATTATATTGACACAAACTCTTTCTTGATTTCGGAACGCGTAGAATGACAGATACACTCTACGATGAATCCAAAATAACTGAGAGTAAAAGTTTTTGTAGCGGGTAATATGATAGTATCGCTTTCAACGATTGTAATATAAACGAAAGTGATAACATTAAGAAATATTACAAATCCTTCTATAATGATATAGGCGTGTGTAAATGAAATTAGTAATAATAATAATCGTTTTTATCCATAATTGATTAACAATAATTTTATTATAACATGATATTACTGCAGCAATGACATTTAAAAGAAAAAAAATTAAATATATTTCTTATACACTTTTGTGTATCTGTGTGTGTCTGTGCTTATATGTTGTGTGTGTACTTTGTGTGTGTATGTCATAATACATATTTCTTTTGACCTCATGTTTCGTCCTCATCATCTATTATTTTTCTAGCCGATACGTAACTTATTTTTTCTTTGATTATTTTACAGCAAAATAATACAGCAGATAATAAACTACAGCAAAATGAGTTGATATAAATGGCGTATAAAGTGATTAGAAAAAAAGCTGAGTTTGTCATATGATCAGTCGGAAATTTAATATTATCTGTATAATTTAATATATTGTCTGTGTTAGATATTTATCGATAAGAAAGCAAATTAACTTGGAATCACTATATCTATACACACCACTTGTTTAACTGCGAACAATCAACAAAGAACGCGCCCTTAATTAAAAACTTATAGACATTTTTAATTAAATCTAATTTATTTGACTTCAGTTAAGAATTGGTCCCCATTTAGAGTTTAGTTTCTTATACAAGATGCTTTGAATTACAATATTGAACTTTTTTCCGATGTTTGTTTATGGTCTTCTTTCACTTAGCCAAGTTTTATATCTTGACGAAGAAGTAACGATGAAAATTAAAAGTCAGAATCCGGAGATCTTTAGAGAAGGAAACACAAAGGACTTAGAAATGAAGGTTAAGTAAAGGGGAAGAAAAAAGAACCCTGACAAATGAAACATGATCGTCCAAGTAAGTCCGCACAACTGGATTGAAATGACGAGGACAGGGTGTCGAAAATCGCAGACCAATCCCCTCTCATTCAAACAAAAAAGATCATTGATTTATTTTTTCTGATTAAATACAAACCTCACTATTTATCTATCGGTAGCGCCATCTATCTCCAATAGCGTTTGACGTTAAAACTAACTTCAAGGTAACGATATCGCTCATTCAATATGTTTCAAAAAACGTCGCGAGCGCAATTGCTATTACAATCGCTATTTATTTTATAATTAGACAATTAGCCCCCAGGACAATGAAAATGGGTTGATATGGACTTCGAGGACGCGTGATATGCAGCTTTCGGCGTGGCTCCAATTGTACACTAAATTCTTTAATTTATTACCATGCCGATAAATAAGAAGTCAATAGCTGTAGGCTTGATGAGTGGATATACTGTAAAATACTATGAACCATTCATAAGAGTTACGTTAATATTACCATTATGAATTCTATTAAAACATTTGAATAAAATACATTTTGTAAGCAGCATAGTTAAAGCAATTAGATTTAGGTACTGACTTATTCAATGAAGTCGTCTTCAGATTAGCATCCGAGCTTGAAATTTTGACGTTTCACTCGTAACAAACAGTGACGGATTCTGTTTCGCCATAGAAAGTTCGCACGCCAGATTCATAGTGTCACCATCTTTGAGGTTCTGGATCCGGATCCGGATGACCTCTATATTGCGAAATTCTATATTGCCTTGGATCTGAGTTTGTTGTGTATCTTCAAAACTTGTGTTTTTACGTATGTCATTTTATAATAAAAATAATAAAAACAAGCATACCCGCTCAAACTCACTTATACATTTTTCATTTTTTACATTGACCTGATCAAGTTGGGATTATAATGGATTTTTCTATATTGTTTCTGATCTGTAAGTAACTTAGTTATTACAGATTCCATAATACAAATGCTTTAGTTATTTTGTGATGATAGTATATGATTTTTATAATATTATATTATTAAAAACAGTTTAACTAATTACTAGCCATGAGTTCAGTTCCCCACTATCCTGTCGCCGATCAGAGAGAATTTTCAATACCTATCTCTTTTTCTCGAGCGCAAAAATATTGCTATAGCACTTCCACAGGTGCCTCTAGCCAATTTTGTCATAGTCTTGAAAACGTAAAATATTTACGATATCTCTCCGTAGGTACAAATGTAAACGTACGAAATTTTCTGTTTTGAGACTAGACTATGCCTAGTAGGTACATGATGCGAGTATGCACAACAACACGTTAGGTTACCTCAATATGTACGATTCCCTCACTCCATTTTGAAACTCTGCATTAAAATTTAAAATCATGTGAAAAAGTGTTAAATACACCATTCGACAAAAAATTTCAAGCTGCATTTACAGAAACTAAAACCTTTTTCATTTATATTAAAAAAA